AACAGGCCTTGGGCCTGAGGTGGTTGCATGTGCCCAACTGCCTTTGGCCTGTGTTTGGCCCAGTACCCGTATCCAGCCCAGGGCCTGCTTCACATACATTCACACAGGCGGCCCAGGGCCTGGGTTCACTCAACCAACTGGCGTTGCGCAACTGCCTGAATTTCCCTTAGTTGTGTGGTGGCCAGAATAGGGCCCTGAGGGCTACGTCGAGGCTGCCTTCACTTAGGGCGGCCGACGGGCTGCAAAATGGGGCCTTATGGGGCTCATAGAAGCAGTGGCCTCGCATTCCCTCAACAATCCTATGAGAAGCTCAGTTTTCAATCATGGGGCGCTTCCCTTCTGCAGAGATTTCTCATAATGGGGCGGTCTACATGAGTTCTTCCCTCGTGAACCAACGGTCCTCCTTGGGATCAGTATGATGTCTGAACCGAACGCGGTACTGCAGCTTCGATTTCGGAGGACGTCCCCTTCCTGCAGGTCTCTGAGCTGGCAGCTCCCTGTGATCCACGATGTCATCGATGTCCACTTCTCTATCCATGGTTGGGGGCAGCATTGAGCTACGAGAAGGAAACTCATCTGTTTCCTTGAAAGGTGCAAGCTTGGAGGCGTGAAAGACAGGGTAAGTTCGAAGATGACCAGGGATCCGGATAACATAAGATGGCCCATCCGGATCTGTCCCAACGATGTCCAAGACTTCCCAGGGTCCAAAGTACTGGGGCATGAGTTTTCGGGAAATCCCGTGCTCCTATCCCAGTTCTGAAGACTTAACCCAGACTATGTCCCCAACCTGAAACGTAGAAGGACGACGGTGTCTATTTTCAGACTCTATCATTGAAGCCTGTGCCTTCTGCATTTGTTCTAGAGCCTGCTGCATCTTCTATTCATACCGATAAGCAAATTCTAAGGTACCTGGTGCAGCAATGGTCTGATTCTCAGGAAGAAGAAAGTCTAAGGGCAGTCTGGGCTTGAAAGTTAGCAGTAAGCTGTTTGGGCTCACCCCGGTGGCGCTGTGTACAGCGTTGTTGTACAAGCTGGCGATGAGAGCAAGCTTCTCATCCCAGTCCACCTGATTGGGCTTGATGTAATGCCTCAACAGGTGTTGAACAGCGCGGTTCAGTTGCTCGGCTTGCCCATTGGACTCTGGGTGATTCCCAGAAGTCATTTGCAATTGGGTCCCCTGTTCCGCAGCAGCGGCTTTCCACAACTCACTGGTAAATCGGACATCCCTGTCACTCACTATGGATTTGGGCAACCCAAAATCTCTAACCCAATTCTCTTTGAACATCTTAATGACGTACTCCGTTTTAGCTGTTGCCGGCATCGCTACTAGTCTAGCAAACTTACTAAATCTATCCGCAATGACGTAGATATAGCGCATTCCACTCTTGCTGGTGATTAGAGTATTCATGAAATCCATGGACGGACTCTCAGCAGGCTTTTCCGGAACTGGAAGCGGCTTCAAGAGCCCAAGAGGGGCCTGTGTACGTGGCTTGTCTCTCTGACAAACTTGACGCGTCTCCACGTACAGCTGAGCATCTTGCATCATTGTGGGCCACCAGAATCGCTGCAGCAGCTTAGCTGCGGTCTTTTTATACCCAAAATGATGGGTGGCATCATGACATTCACCTAAAAATAAACTACGCAAAGACTCGCTATTAGGGACACACAATCGTTTATTCCCTACCTTCTCAAGGAACAGCAAGCCATTGACCAATTCAAACTCGACAGAGGTCTTCTTGTCCTTTGCCTGGAGTCTGCGTATGATCTCAGACATGAACTGGTCCTCGCGATAGGCTTCCACCAAGGACTGAGTAACATTGTCCGTCAGATCAAACTCAGTAATCAGCGCACCTGAGAAATCAGGTCTTTGCGATAAGGCGTCTGCAACCTTGTTGTACTCCCCTTTCAGATACCGAGGGTCAAAGTCATATTGCTCAATGACTTCGATCCAACACTTGAGAGCGTCAGAGAGCACCGACTGAGTTCTCATCCATCTCAGGGTCTGATGATCAGTCCTGAGGATGAAGAACCTCCCAAGGAGATAGTGCCTCCAATGGGTCAGAGCCTTGTACACCGCATAGAGTTCCTTCTCATAGGTGGACTTAGCCAACTTCTGAGACGGCATTTTCTTGGACATGTACTCTACAGGTCTCAACTTTGGCCCCTCCTGCTGCGCAAGCACGGCGCCAATGCCGTACTGGTTGGCATCCGTGGTGACTATAAACGGCTTGTCAGGATCAGGAAGTTTCAAGACCTCGTAGTGCGTCAACGCATGCTTCAGATGTCTGAAAGCAGCCTCGCACTCATCTGTCCACTCCCATGGGGTGTCAGGGCGGGTCAGATCAGCCAAAGGAGCGGCCACTATGCTATAGTTCTTAACGAAAGTCCTATAGTAGCCTGTCATTCCTAAGAAAGATCTCATCTCAGTCATATACTGAGGACGTGGCCAATCACGAATGCTGCCCACCTTCGCGTCATCGGGCTTCAACCCATCCATGGATATCTCATGACCCAAGTACAAGACACGGGTGCAGCCAAACTCGCACTTCTCACCGTTGATCTTGAACTTGTGCTGTCGCAGGAGGCTGAGGACTTTGTCCAAATGTGCAACATGCTCCTCGACAGTCTTACTAAAAATAAGTATGTCATCGAGGTACACGATGACAAACTTATTCCAAGTAGTCATGGAATATCCAATTCACAGCGTGCTGATAGGTGCCAGGAGCATTGCAAAGGTCTGAAGGCATCACCACAAACACGTACAGACCGCACCTGGTCTAAAAAGCGGTTTGTGCTGATCCTCGGGCCGGATTGCAATCTGATGGTACCCGGACTTCAGATCTATTTTACTGAAGTACCGACGCCCTTGCACTCTATCTAACAGATCATCGATGTGTGGTAGGGGCTCTCTATTCTTTAAAGTGATGGCATTGAGGCCCCTATAGTCAATGCACATCCTAAGTGTACCCTCCTTCTTCTTAGGTACGAATGGAACTGGAGACCCATAAGGAGAGACACTCGACCGGATCCAACCCTTCTCTACGAGTTCCTCGAGCTGTCGGCGAAGCTCATCGAGCTCGCCTGAAGACATCCGATAGATCTTACCCTTCGGGATGCTAGACCCTGGGATAATCTCTATCGCGTGGACGACCTCCCTCTCTACAACCCCTGTCGGTTCTTCAAATAGATCAGGGTACTTGGCAANCTAGACCCTGGGATAATCTCTATCGCGTGGACGACCTCCCTCTCTACAACCCCTGTCGGTTCTTCAAATAGATCAGGGTACTTGGCAACTACTCCCTCTATCTCCGGCAACATTTTCACCGGCTCGCCTGCAGCAGAGACATAAACTAAGTACATACCCTCCTCCTGATTTTGCTTATAATAATTATAGAACGCGGCCGCACACATGCATCCATGGGACTCGATCAGACTACTAGCTTTAAACTTGTGCAATATGGCGGTCCCTCCACCTGGCAGGGTGTGTTTGACCACTTTTCGGTCCCAGTCAAACTGGGGCTGTGCCACAGAGAGGTAGTACATACCTAACAACATGTCCATGGGGAGCTCATCGCTCACTTGGAACGAGACGCGATGTCTCGATTTCCCTCCCGCGTACGGGAAACAACACTCCACATTTTGGAGGTAGTCATTGACTACCATGCGCTGTTTGTTGGCACAGGTCGACTCCACAGGTCGACTCAGGCGCTGCACTTGCCCCTATAAGCGCAATCTCTCAACGCACGCACGACTGATAAAGTTCCTAGTCGAGCAAGTGTCATAATAGGCCCCGACCTTGCGGCCGCCAATGACAACCTCGCTGACGAACATCTCACCCTGGGCTTTGACTAGGGTCGTCCAAGAAGCTAGCGGGTCTGATCTATACCACTCCACCTCTAGCTCCTCTAAGGACTCAAACACATTCATCGAACAGAGGCTCGATGGGTCTGAACGTGTTTGCTGGACGACACTGGAGTCAGTAGCTTGGGCCATCTCTCGAGATGGTGAGGGTGTCTCCACCACCTCGACCCTAGCAGGAACAACTACTATTCCTACTGGACCGACGTGTTTTTTGGAGCACTGCCTGAAGTACTGGCAACATTGCTACCAACGGGATGAGAGGATCCCAACACCTACCCCATCGTAGGCGGGATCTTTTCGGTTACCTCTTGTTGCACCACTTGAACTGGTTATGGCCATATTGGCCACAACGAATACAGGTCTGCCATGAGTACCGATCTCTCCACACATCCTCTGTGAGACCCGCCTTCTCCCATGGGGGAGCGTTGGGGTCAACTTGACTCCTTGACCGGGAATCTCCGCGGCATCTACCGGTCGCCTTACCTTTCTGAGTTACAACAGCGACTACTCCACCCTCTGAAGCTTCTACTCTGCCCGCCTCTGAACCTACTCCTTCCTGGAAGTGTTCGTCTACTTCGATAGTAGAACCATCGTTATCGACAAACATTAAGCGGCCCTTCGCCTTCCAGTTGGGAGGCAGTGTCTTTCTCCTTCCATCCGTAGTGTGTGCCTGTCCATGCCCTATCTTCGCCTCAAGGTCTAGGGCCATCTTGCTGAATGAAGGAAAGTTGTGCATATTGATGTTGGCCTGACTTGCCAACTGGTTCCTGAGAGGCAAAGAAAAGCATCTCAGGTATGAGGTAAGCAGAACCTGGGGGTCATAGCGCACCCCAGGGACACAGATCAGACGCTCAACAGCGTCGGTGGCTTCCCTTACTGACTTAAACTATCGTGTGTGCAGTGTCAGGATCGCATCAGTGGCCCTTTGGGCCTCCTGAGGATCGTGCCACCTTTCCTCCACCATCTTCAGGAAGTCCTCCAATTTCTGGGTGACCGCCCAAGCGCAGAAGTCATGACCATACCCCTGGAGCTGCACTAAACCACTCAACCATCTTGCTGCAACCATGTGTCAAGGTCTCGCCTCTCTTGTCCCCTGTAAAGGGTTTAGGAGCGGCGATGGCCATCTTTGGAACCCACTGTGTTTGTCCCGGTCCCTGCATCACGGCGGGCTGTGGACCCTGTGACACAGGTTGCTGTGCTAGTTGCTGGGTTTGTGTGCCCTACGGCTGCACAGACTGCGAGACAGCAGGTTGCTTGGTGACCGCAACCTGCAACGGAGTTTGGGTGAACACTGTCTGTTTAGGAACCTGCAAACTAGTTCCTGCTGATACCCCTCCTGATAGCGGCATGCCCAGGGAAACGATCGCTACCGATGATGGAGCTATATATAGGGATAACCCAGTCACCGGTGGGACAAAAGGAGGAGGATGTACAACGGGCCAGGCACCAGGCCCGGACATTGGCGACATCGCCTGCGCTCGCCCAACCAATAGGGCCAGACTTTGCTGAATGTCCTGAAGGATGGTTGTCTGATGGTCCTGCATCTCCACTACATTCAGCAGGACAGACCGTATGAGTCTCACATCATCAGTTACGTGCGTCAGGTCCATCTCCTCTAACTCACTAACATCCGCTTGTCTACGTTGCATCCTGGCTCTTCTTCTAATCATCCTATCTTTCTCCGCTTTTATGTCTCCTAATGCCTTCTGTAGCTGTGCCTCCTGCAATGCTGCCTGTTGTATGGCGATCTCATCGGGAGTTAACACTAGTGGCTGGCTCGCCATGACGCCAGTGGACTGACTCTGGGTCTGCGCGACCGTTGACCCAACAGACTCTGAACTACCGGCCTGAGTAGACTGCTGCGCTACAGTGGGCATGGCTTCTGAAGCTGCGGCTTCACTCACAAGTGTCCTGCTAGCCTCTGCCGCTCTAGCCCTCCTCTGTTGCTACTGCCTCTCCCTAAGCTGGCGGAACAGATGTCTGTCGCTCTCTGGTCCTAATGTCAAGTGGGCTACTGGGCGCCTTGTCGATCGCAAGATCTAATCGTCCGGTTGGTGTTCCTCCCTATCGCTCATATGCTACAGCCCTCAATCTGCACTAATGCACTCTAGGTGCCTACCGCAGCGTAATGCGCATACCAATTAACTGGTGGCTATTTCGGAGACTTTACATTCGGGTCAACAGGTAAGTCAGATTCCTACAAATAAAACTATTTTTAATTTGACTAGTCCGCAAACAGAAGCATCGTGAACAAAAAGCAGTTCTAACTAATGTTGTCTGTCAAATGTCAATGGATGTACACCTTACTAATCAAAACATAAAAATAGAATCATTTGTGTGGATAGGACAGCATGGAATTTTTTTTTCTCGAACTTATCACCTGGAATTTACCCTCCCTTAGTTCCCCTGAGTATCACTTGACGTCAGCGTCCCTGAGCAATCCGGAGGCGTTGCGTGTCTAAAGGTGTGTGTCCGACCCACCCTTGTGCCCCGAGTATCTGCTGAGCTGGCCAGCCCTGCACTGGATTATCCTCACGTGCAGCGAGCCTTACAACCATTGGCTGATCCAAAGGCAATTTAACGTCCACCCCGAAGTGACTCTAAGAATTCTTTTACGTCGCAGTCGGACGACGATCACAGCCAATGGTTCCCCTTCCGGTGCTTGTTTAAAGACGCCCGGTCTCGTCTCCCTTAAGGGCTGGCCTGCCCGTCAGTACCCATCTAACAGCGCAGCAAGCCGAACAAAGGACAAGCAGCAAGGCATGCGTGCTCTACTCCATGTGGGTTGGCATGGTGACCGTGACCCAGTGCTTCGTCCAGGGCCCTTCAGAAAGCTCCGCCCATCTTCTCCCAGATGCTCCACGTGAACATTGCCGACTCTCAAGGTTGAGCGCATTCGACACCTCACAATGAGAGGACTCTCAAGAAGGAACATACAACCTCACGGTAAGAAGTGTCGGAGAGGGTAGATAAGGTTAAGAGCAATGTACCTCAAATAGCTGCCCCCAACCACAGAGATAATCTCACCAAATGACCAGATGGCGATTGCGATGACCAGTCACTGCATCGGCACAACCAGCATTATCTCGCCGTTCCACCTCAGCATCAATCGCACATTAGATAGTTCTCATCACACTGTCCAGACCACATTCACTCCACGTAGCCTTCCTGGCGATCCCCTCACCTCCTGGGTCGCCACTCACTCGCCTCCGCCCTCCTCACTATACACCACTTACGGCCAAACTCGCCAAGCAGACCGCATGTACGTACCGTACGAGGCAGAAGACAAGCGCCAGATGAGCGCAAACGTACCACAGCTCCGATACCAAATTGCAAGGAAGATGGGCAATAGCGAACTTCAGCAATCAAACAGCATCATACATATGAGTCCAGATAGTCGTGACCTCGAACCAACAACAGAATTGCATCACGAGATTCACCAAATAAGAACACACCAAGAGTTCATAATTGACAATGCTGAAATAGTCCCATCATCATCAACGAAGAACCAGAGTTGATATCCTATCTGGCGCTCGGCGCCCAGACTACATGTGGCAGATCCTATCTAGCCTACACTATGA